TGATGTGCTTCTCTGACATTCTCCTCTCCCCCTTCTCTGTTTTGAATTGCAGCAAAGTGCTGGTTGTTAATTTGTCTATCACAAACACAAAGCCTAATTTGTGTGGGATCCTTTGGCGGGGCGACGACATCGGAGCTTGTGAATATTGCTGTTTAAACCTAGGTATCCTAAATTGGAAATGATGTAGAATGCTGTGGTTTGTAACAGAAGCTCCTGGCAGGGTATTTTGTAGCAGTCATGGAACAAGTTGCTAAATCAAAGAAGACTACCAGGAGTGTTCCAATCAGGTTTGCCTCCAAAATGTGCCCCTCTAGGTCTCAGCAGATTAGGCCTCTGCTTTCTTCTCCCCAGTTGCTGCTTGGTAGTGATTGGAGGTGCATAAATCCCCCTTTCTCCTTCTATCGAAATCACACTATTTTCCTCCCAAAATGGGATAATTCTCAGCTTCTTCTGGGCCAATTGGATTCAAGCCAGACTCCATCACATCTCTGACTGCATCATGAAATCTCAATCCATATACCGGCTTGTTGGGAGGGGAAAGGCTGCTGACTTCCCAGTAGGTGAGTCACTGGTGCTTATGGGAAGGGGCAAATTGCCTGGAAAGTTGGTGTGGTGCAAACACATTGCCTGGAGCAGTGGATTGGCTCTACCACTGCATCCACTTCATTGGACTCTCCTTCATTAGAGGGGTTTAAACAGTGGTTAATGGCCATGGATGCTTTAGCTGAGATTCCTGCATTGCAGGGGGTTGGATTAGATGACCTTCTGGGCCCCTTCCAACTCTACAATTCTATGGGTCTATGATTCTATAATCTCAAAATACAAACCTTAGCCTATTCAAGAGCCCATCTATGCCTGAACATGTACATCTGTGCACAAGGCTATCACTGGCTACAAACCCTGATGGATATGCTTTTCATCCGCTGTTGGAGGCAGTATGATTCTGAGTACCCAGGGGCGTAGCATGGTTTGCCGGTAGCCCGGGCAGGTCAAGTATTGCACATACAGACACCCAGGTGGACAGGGCAGTGGTAAGAGCCTTTGCTGGCCAGTGTCTAATCATGGGAGTCTTTTCTTGCAAACTAGCCCCAACCTGGGAGCAGAGATAAGGCAGAGAAACATGAAGCCAGGAGCACCACTGTGTCACCTCGCCTTCCTGTCCTTGCAGCAAGGCGCTCTGGCAGTGCTTTCTCACCTTCCTCTTCCTCCCTCCCTCCTAGGTAGGTGGTGGCAGCACCCTCCCTCCCTCTTGGCCAGCCCAGGGGCAGGGCATGTGTAGATGTCCCTTCACCAGCCGTGATGAGAAGAAGGTGGTGCTACCCCAGCCCCAAAAGCACAGCCCAGCCCCGGCCTAGATGAAGGAACCTGTTACGGGGGCACCTGTTTTTGCTCCCTCAGAAATTTATGCCCAGGGCCACAGACCCCCTGTCCCCACCCACTACACTTTGAGTACCAGTTACTGGAAACTTCAGGAGGGCAGAGTTAGTGTTGCACTGAGGTCCTGCTTGAAGGCTTTCCATAGGCACCTGGTCAGCCATTCTGAAGATAAGATGCCAGGCTAGATGGGCCTTTAGAACTCTTCTTAAGTTCTTATGTTTATGGGATCCATATCCAGGGATTTTTTTCAGCCAGAACTCAGTTCTAGCACTTCTCAGGTGAGCTCCATTACCATTAGAGGAGAACAAGGGAGGTGTTCATGGTGAGTTCCAGCACCTCTTTTTCTAGAAGAATAGCACTGTCCATATATTCCCATTTTTTGCATGGTATGGATCATGCTTATTCATGTGGGTGTGCATGTTTAGGCATCAGTGTAAATGAAACCTTGAATGCATAGAGGGCAGAGACAGAAGCAGTGGGCATAATCCTGATCTTCTCCTTCATGCATCCATTTCAATACTAATGTGGAAGCTTCTGGATGAGGTTTAATGAAAACTGCAGTTTAACAAACTCATTGATCCAAGGAAAGACGGCATTTAGTAAGTTTATTTTTCATTTTCTTTATGCTACCACACTGCAAACAAAATAGCCCTCTCGCTCCTAAATGCTGCTTTGTTCTTATTGTCATCAAAGCCATATGGTCATGTATACAGACCTTTACTAAACTCCCACCATCTCTGTTCATTAACAGTGCAACTCTTTGCCAGGGTGTGTTTGCTGAACCACAGGGAGATTATCCAATGAAGATGTCAGTGTCAAAATGTCTCTTCCAGGAGTCAGTCCTAGCTCCTGATTGGCCAGTCATTTTATATTCCCATTGAGAGAGTTCAAATGATCTTCTAAATATAAGCTGAAGCTTATATTCATAGCAATCTTCCTCTCCAGTTATTAGAATGAGCATGATTGGATAATGCCGTCACTCTGATCTTGTCAGCAAATTCTCTTGGCCATTTAACAGACAAAATGGCCAAAATGCAATAGACATACAAAGTAACAGAGTGAAGAAATCCTTAAAGAGATTCTGGCTGGTGCTATATATAGATTCAGAACAATAAACGAAACTATATTTAGCATCATTTGCACGGCAGGTGATTACCAAGTGATGGATTCCCTGCCTTTGCGGCACACTTTCTTCAGTGGGGCCAGGCAGGGCTGGGCTTGGAAAATTAAAAGTTTGTAATGGGGGGAGGGAGAGTCAAGTGAAGGTGTGGGGAAAAGGCTAAACAAGACATTAGCAAAGAAGCAAGCCCTGGGGATGAAATAAAATTAATATAGGGAAATGTAGGATACAGGTATAAATAATAAATTATTATTATTATTATTATGGCAGCCAGTGCAGCTCCCTCAACAAAGCTGTTATATGTGGTCAGTAGCCAATGCTCAATACCATCCAGGCTGTAGAATTCTGCTGCAGCTTCCCAACCAGCCTCAAGGGTAGCACCACGGAGAGTACACTACAGTAGTCTAGCCATGAGGTTAGCAATGCTTGAACCACTATAGCCAAGTCACTGTAAATATTGATATATTCTTTTTTTAAAAAAATAATCTAACAATTTTAAGATCAGGTTATCTCATGTTTCAAGCACTGAAAATCTGGGAAACTAGAAGCTAAGACAGATGCCTTAGCAGCTATGACTCATAACAAGCAATTATATAGAAGAGTGTTACAAACTGTGCTTGCTTACAACTGAACCTACATGCACCCATTCTCGTCAGTGGTTTTTTACCCTTTTGCCCCATCCTGTTGTCCTGGTCAGAATCAGGGTCCTGGTCTCTGCTAATTGCATTGGAAATTAAATTCCTATTGGACCGAATAAGAACTCTGGCCTTGTGCAAATAGTATGTGCTTGAGGCCTAAACTGGATCAGAATGATAATGCAAGGGAAACAGCTGAGGTCTCCTTTCCCAGTCTAGATCAAGCCAGCAGGCCACCAGTTCACTTTAAAAAGCCTTTAAGTAATTGCTAAGTGTGCGAACAATGTCATGTCTAGTTTGGTCCTCAAAATCTATAATGGTGTGCATTCATTCCATTTGCTGAACAAACTGGCATACTTGAAAAACCCCAGAGTGCTAAAATATGTTATCAGCAGTTAAAAATAAGCCCCATCGGCATGTAAAATAGAAGGGTATAAACTATATTGTGTTGTAGTATACATATATCTTCACACATTGAAATGCATGTGCACTAGTGGTGATATGCCTCCACCACTCCCAGGAAAGGAGATTTTTGTTTTGTTTTGAAAATTAAGTGAGAAACTGTAATCTAAGACTGTAAATTTAAGTGAGAAACTGTAATCTAAGCCTGTAAATTTAAGTGAGAAACTATAATCTAAACTAGTGTTTTTGGAAACACTGGTTTAGATATTTGTATTTGCTTATTTTTTTATATTTCATAGTCTATGGAATTTCCTACCAGAATAACTTACAGTTTCTTAATGTGACCCTTTTCTTTCTGCCAGCAATTCCCTTAAAATGCTTATCATAGAATAGTAGAATTGGAAGGGATTCTGAGGGTCTTCTAGTCCAACCCCCTGCAGTGCAGGAATCTCAACTACAGCACCCATGACAGATGGCCATTCAACAGCCTCTCAGCCTTCTAGTAGCTTGATATGATAGGCTTAGGCAGGAAATGGACATCGATTCTCCTATTGCTTTCTGTGATACTTCCATAATATTCTGGTAATGGGGAACCAGTGACCAGGGCAATGTTGTTTGACTTCAGCTTCCATTATCCCTAATCATTGGCCATGTTGACTGTGGTTGATGACAGCCAACAGTCCAACAACAGTAGATTGCTGTAGATTTCATATCAGATAGATGAGATAGATAGATAGACAGACAGACAGACAGACAGATAGATAGATGGTAGATAGTTAGATGATAGATATAGATGATAGCTAGATGATAGATAGATAGATAGATGATAGATAGATAGATAGATAGATAGATAGATGATAGATAGATAGATAGATGATAGATAGATAGGTAGATTTAGATAGATGATATGTTAGGGTGTGAAACCTAAGACGCTGGCAAGTTAGCAATGTCATGTGACTTTAAGTAGTCAAGCTCGTTAAGTTGTTAAGTTGCTCAGTATATAAAGTGTGTTTGTTTTCTCTGCCTGTGGGGCGTGAAGCAAAAATGTCTGAAAGCTCCGGAGGTATTTCTGTTATCTTTCTGCAATAAACCTGTCTTTGGAAAGACAGGCTTCCCTGTGTCGTTATTTCTTTGCTGCTGAAACTCTGAAGCTTGTACTGCAACAAGAATCTCTGCACTGGACTTAATTAATACTCTGCAAAGAGAGCTGTTGCTGGTGGCGCAGCGGAAGCGTTTACTGGACCAGTACACAAACTCTCTTAGGTTATGGATCCTTCTACGTTTCTACAGCTGTATTGTGTGCAGAGAAAGTGAAAGCAGCTTTCGGATGAGAGAAGACCGGCTTGGTCGTAAATCCAGCTCTTAAAGGCTTCAGAGGAGGCTGGAGGCGTCTGAAAAGTGAGTAAAACAAATCCCAAGGGGAAAAGAAGAAAGGGCACACAGAGGAGTAGCAGCAGACCCCAAGAATGGCAGTGGAAAATTTCCAGGTTCCCTTTACAAAGTTGAACTCTGCAAATTACGTGCAGTGGTCTAAGAGGGCTCAAGTCTGGTTGGAAGCCAAAGAAGTGTGGGCTGACTATGTCCAGAGGCGAAAGCCGTTTGTGGCTGTTGCAGCAGATGCCACAGCAGAGCAACAGGCTGCTGCACATGCTCAGAATAGGGAACATGATAAAATGGACACTAAAGCTAGATGCATGTTGATGGTATCGATAGACGATTCCCAATTACCTCATGTGGAAAATTTAAGGTCTGCATTTGAAATTTGGGAAGCTCTTAGGCGAATTCACCATAGAGCCACGCCCGGAGAGAAGGTGAACATTATACGTGCTTTGTATGAGTTGAAACTGAAGCCAGGGGATAGTGTGGTTGAACACACGTCACAGATGACTGAGTATTTCAACCGACTGTCATCTTTAGGTGTGAATTTTCCTGAAAATATTAAAGTTTATACTCTGCTTAGCAGCCTGCATGCAGGGTTTGAAAACTTAGTACTAACTTTACAGGTTTTGCCAGAGGACCAGCTGAATATGAATTATGTGACTGGTAGATTGTGTGAGCAAGAATATCAACATCATCGAAAACGTATTGATAATTCAAATACCCCAAGGGTTGGATGTTCAGATAATTCCCAGCGTGGGGAAACTAGCAGGCAGAGCTGTAAGGAAGCCTCACAAGTGTCTGCTATGGCCAGCAAGTCATGTTTTCGATGTGGCAGCAGGTTTCATTTGATAGCAAAGTGTCCAGAAAAGCAACAGGAATTTCAACAGTCCAGGGCCAGTTTCCGGAGCTACAGGGGAAGACGACGTGAGAACTACAAGAATCAACGATCCAGAGGGGAGCAGGTGCTGATAAGGGACTATCTGCAATGGCAGCACAAAAGAGTCCTAAAAGGAGCCAACAAACCTTGAAGTGGATAATTGACAGTGGAGCAAGTCACAGTTTAGTTCCAGCGACATCCAGTGGCCGCTTGATGAACTGCAAGACATTGCCAGTTGCAAAAACCGTGACTATAGCAGACAATAGTAAACGAGAAATGAACCTTAAAGGCACAATTTATGTTAACTGTTTGCAAACTAACCTTCCTGTTTTTGTTCTTCCAGGAATGAAGAATGGACTTTTGAGTGTGTCATGCCTGGTAAAAAGTGGTTTTAAGGTTGAGTTTGAAAATGATGTGTGCACCATTTCGAAACAGGGAAGGAGCTAGTTAAAATTCCCTGTGAGGATGGGCTTTTGTTTTGGATGAAGAGCAGTTAGCAGCAGGTAGATGTTCAACAGGTGAAGCGCAAGCTAAGTGTGTAAATAAGGCTCCTCATACAGGTTGTGCACATCTACTACACAGAAGGTTAGCTCATATATGCTTTAAGTATGTAAGCAAGATGCCAGATTTAGCTGAGGAGTGTAACATTAAACCCTGTCCAAATTTTCTGGATTGTTGTGCTTGTAAACATGCTAAGGTTAAGACATGTAACTATCCTAGATCTGATAGAGTAAGCAAGAAACCCTTTGAACTTGTGCACACAGACGTGTGTGGCCCTATGCCAGTCAAATCGCTTGGAGGTGCGAGATTTATGCAAATTTTGGTGGATGATTTTTCAAGGGCTAGTTGGGTTTTCTTTCTGAAAGAAAAACACAAGCAGCTTCCATCCTGATGGATTGGATTGAAGAAGTCGAATGTAAATTTGACACCAGGGTACGTAAAATACAATCAGATCGTGGTGGGGAATATGTGAACCACACGCTGGAGACGTGGTTAAAAAGGAAAGGTATAGTTCATAGACTTACCAATCCCTATTCACCACAGGAGAATGCAGTTGCTGAAAGAAAATTTCGAACATTACAGGAAGCCATTGCTGCTTTGCTGTTTGATTCTGGACTTCCACAGCGTTTTTGGGCTGAGGCTGCACTGTATGCGAATTATACTTTTAACAGAGTGTACAATAGCACAGTAGGCAACACTCCTTACTTCATGCTATTTGGGAAAAAACCAAAAATTGATCATCTAAGAGTTTTTGGATGTCGTGCTTATGTGCTGGTGCCTAGGGCACAACGTAGGAAAGGCGATCCTAGGTCTAAAGAAATGTTTTTCTGTGGTTATCAAGCAAACACAAAAGGTTGGAGATTTGTGAATGTAGAAGGCAATCAAACGAAAATCACAATCAGCAGAAGTGCAGAATTTTGTGAACAGGATGGTTGGAATAAAATTCATGGAAATCCTGACATACTATTTGATGTGGTGAACAGCAATGAAACTCAGGCCCCAGGGCAGGTATTAGTTCCAGAACAGACTGAGGAATTTGAGTCTGAGGATAAGGGTGAGAAATCGCCTAGTTCACCCAAGTCTGTAAAGTCAGAATCTTCTAGTTCTAAAAGTTCACCTGTACAGCAAGAGAGACGTGTAAAGTCAGAATCAGAAAGTTCTACAACTACTAGTGACAAACAGGTGACGACTAGTGATTCTGGGTCAGAGGGGAAACTGAAGGAACATCGCAGGAACTGTTAAGGCGTTCTACGCGTACCAACAAAGGTAAACCTCCTGAAAGGTACCAAGCTATTAGTGTTTGGGCTGGTTTGGCAAATTGCGAACCTGAAAGTTTTGAGGAGGTTGAACAATTACCCCAGGAGGAGGCCAATAGGTGGCGTGAGGCCATGCAAAAGGAGTTGAATTCTATGAAAGAACTGGGTGTGTTTTCCATCACCAAACTGCCAGAAGGTACCAAAGCAGTAAGTTGTAGGTGGGTGTACAGGATAAAGACAACAGCGATGGGAAACCAGAGTACAAAGCAAGGCTTGTAGCTCGAGGTTTTACGCAAAGAAAGGGGTTACATTATTCCGAAGTCTATGCACCCACTTCAAGGAGTGAAACCCTACGGGCACTATTAGCAGTTGCTGCTCAGAAAGGGTTCAAAGTGAATCAATTTGATGTCTCTACAGCTTATCTTCATTCAGACTTGGCTGAAGAGCTCTATATGGAGCTACCGCCAGGATTGAAAGTTGGTAAATCAAATCAGGTATGGAAACTACATAAATCTATTTATGGACTCAAGCAATCTGCTCATAATTGGAATGAATGTTTGAATGACGTTTTGGTAGGCATTGGTTTTAGCAGGAGCAAGGCTGACAATTGCTTATATTTCAGAAGTTCAGGAGATGCTCAAGAATCTTTGCTTGTTTATGTAGATGACCTGATTTATACTTCAAAGACACAAGAACAAGTAAAAAACTAGCCAAAGAGTTAAATAAACACTTCAAAGTTAAGAATCTTGGTGATGTGAAGGTCTATCTTGGTGTTCAGATAGATAGGACCAAAAATGGCAGTTTTCTACTGAATCAAAAAGGCAAGATATTGCAAATGTTGAAAAAGTTTAACATGACGGAGTGTGCAGGTGTTAGAACACCAATGGAAATGGGTTTTGTAAAAGACAATGAGTTCAAGGATAGTGCTGAATTCAAGCGTGCTGAAATCTTTCAGTCAGCACTGGGAAGCTTACTTCATCTTTCGCAATGGAGTAGACCAGATATTGCTTACGCTGTTAACTTACTCAGCAGAGAAGCTTGAAACCTAGTGTAAATGCATGGAAAGGAATTCAAAGAGTGTTAAGATATTTACAATACACCAAAGATTTTTGCCTTGAATTGTTTTCGGAAGGACAAGCACAGATTACTTGTTGGGCAGATAGTGATTGGGCAAATTTAAAGGATAGAAAATCAGTGTCTGGCTGTGTAATAAAATTTGGTAACTCTCTGATTGGGTGGAGATCCAAGAAACAGAACCTAATTGCTTTGTCGTCAACAGAAGCTGAGTTCTGTGCCTTATCTGAGTTATGTAGAGATCTAGAATTTTACAAATGCTTGGCACAAGAGATGTATGAAAAGGCCATCACTCCAATCACTGTGTGGGGTGATAATCAACCGTGTCTTAAGTTAGCACAAAATGGGCAGTTTAAAGGTCGTACAAAACATTTGGATATCCGCTTTCAAAATGTTTGTCAAACGGTAAAAGCAGGAATTGTTAAATTAAATTACTGTCCCAGTCATGAAAATCAAGCTGATGGTTTTACAAAACCACTTGGGTTTCAGCGGCATGAAAACTTTTGTGAAGAAATGGGTCTGAAGTAATTTTGGTTTTTGTATTGCCAGCGAGAGGGGTGTTAGGGTGTGAAACCTAAGACGCTGGCAAGTTAGCAATGTCATGTGACTTTAAGTAGTCAAGCTCGTTAAGTTGTTAAGTTGCTCAGTATATAAAGTGTGTTTGTTTTCTCTGCCTGTGGGGCGTGAAGCAAAAATGTCTGAAAGCTCCGGAGGTATTTCTGTTATCTTTCTGCAATAAACCTGTCTTTGGAAAGACAGGCTTCCCTGTGTCGTTATTTCTTTGCTGCTGAGACTCTGAAGCTTGTACTGCAACAAGAATCTCTGCACTGGACTTAATTAATACTCTGCAAAGAGAGCTGTTGCTGGTGGCGCAGCGGAGCGTTTACTGGACCAGTACACAAACTCTC